ATATATATATATATATATATAGACTTGGGATCATGTGAGATCAGCCTGTTTTCGTGAGACCCGTGAGACCAACATTTTACACTTGAAACTTCACAGCAAAATGCTGTGAAGGTGACTTTTTAAAACCTTCACAGTGTTTTTGCTGTGAAGGTTCGACTTTTTTTAAACATTCACAGTGTTTTTGCTGTGAAGGTTACGTATAAAAATGTGGTCTCACGGGTCTCACGAAAACAGGCTGGTCTCACGTGAACCCAACCCTATATATATATATATGACTGGGTTCACGTAAGACCAACCTGTTTTTATGAGACCACTTTTTTACACTTGAAACTTCACAGCAAAACGTTGTGAAGGTAAAAAAAGGACGAACTTTCACAACGTTTTACTGTGAAGGTTCAAGTGTAAAAAGTGGTCTCACGGGTCTTATGAAAATAGGTTGGTTCCAAGTTTATATGGGTTCACGTGAGACCAACCTGTTTTCATAATACATGTGAGACCACATTTTTACTATGAAGGTAAAAAAAACCGAACCTTCATTGCAAAAACACTGTGAAGGTTACTTTCACAACGTTTTACTGTGAAGGTTACTTTCAGTACGTTTTATTGTGAAGTTTTAAGTGTAAAAACATGGTCTCACAGGTCTCACGAAAACAACCTGGTTTCATGTGATCTCAAGTCTCTCTCTTACACACACACATGTAAATGAAAATCTATTGTTGTAAAAACTTTATGTTTAATCCTATCCACCAATCATGTATCAATGTATCAGTATTTTCAAAATACTGATGCGGATGATGTGTACATGATTGGTGGGATAAGGATGAAACATGAGATGAGATTTTGTTCTGAATTTTGATAGTTTTTGGTATGAATTTTAGAAGAGATATATATATATATGTGTGTGTGTTGATGCAGGTACAACCAGTTCATGCATGGGGAAGGATCATCAGTTCAGAGGAACATGGTTGGTGAGAGTAGTATCCATGGTTGGGTACTTTGACCCCTTTATTTGTGTAAGTTCTTCTTCTATCATCTCATCTTATTTGTAATAATTTGCTAATTAATTATGACTTTAATTAATTATTTTGGTAGGATGATTTTGACATATATATATTATATATATATATATATATATATAATTTGTAATGTTGTTTGCTAACATTAATTATTAATACTTACATCTTGAATGTTACATATATTTATTATGTACAGTCCTGTTTCTGACATTTTATAAGTTTTGAGTGAGATAAAAAAGGGGTCCTTGATAAGAAATACTATCATTTTTATCATTAGAAATGATATTAAATTTAAGAAATACTAATAATTCATATAAAATTGTTTTAACAGAGTACTTCTAGATGCAGAATCAATCAATACTATTTTTAAATTAATGGTATCTATCATATGATTTTTACATAACATCGTCAATCCGTTCCATCATAAAAAAAAACATTGTATCATATACCTTTAATATGTAGATTGACATCATTTGGGGCCGGAATGTTGACTATTTAGAGTAACACTCTATGTAAATCAATATAAATCAGTTGACTTTCCATCTCAGCTAAGGTTAATGTTTTTCATTACCATTTTAAACTTTTAAGAATATATATATATATATATATATGTATATGTATATGTGTGTGTGTGTGTGTGTTTGAGTTCTTGTTAGAGATAAACATGTTGTAACTATATAGATATGGTACCATGTGAATAAGTTGGTGCAGATACACATGTTAAAAAAAACATTAGTTATTGATGTCAAAATATATACCGTTAGTTGGTTAATGACCATGAATGATAACTTATCAACAACCAGCTTCGATAACTAATAGCTTCTTCAATTGCTATCAATGATTGGTCAATTGTTGACGAGACGTTACTCTTTAATAGCACTTACTGTTGCAAAATTGAAAACGCTCTCCATACGCACATTGAACATTTAAAATGTTGACACCATGATAACGGATGATCAATTATCTTTGCTAACTGAATTGAAAATGCTCTCCCTTCGGGATCGGGGTTTTCCCGTAAAAACAGGTAACGGGTCTGGAGATCTGGATCTATGACATGTCGAAAGCCGATGCGGGGGCTGAGTAATGTATTCTCCAACTCGACCCGTCCCCATATGTGTATGTATATATATATCGTAACACCTCAAAATCACATTTGTATATAAACATATATTTCCATAGATCAAGATATATACTTTACAAAATGGTCCCACTAATTACAAAAGCTACATTATAAAGTAGCTAACAACTTTTTCCACAAAACCCTATACAAAACTTGTATGTATAACAAGTATTCTAAATACAAAAGATAACATGTTATCCTAACATCCCATGTAGGCAAAAATATAACTCTTCACAATTTCCCCCTTTTTTTGTCATCTGGTTGTGCCCGACCTGTAATGCACATTTTCAAAGCATCAAAAATGAGGGTTAGACCTTGAGGGCTTGTGAGAAATGCTTTTGTTGGCTATTACAGGGTGAATAATCACCAAACACATTTATAAACCCATGTTTGTAATAATAACAAACAAACCACACTTTAATAAAACAAACTTCTTTTGTTGTATCTAAAAAAAAATGAGGCATCACCAATTTATCGCATCAATTAACCCAATAACTCATTTAACATATTCTGATATAACTCATCGCATCATAGATAAAAATTTAATTTTCTCACATCACATGGGCGAGACAACCCCATCTCCTCGTAGCAACACACTGGTGCAAGGACTTCATCTCATCACCTCAAATTGGTGCGTTAAACCCAATTTATCGCATCACACAAGTGCGATAAATCAATTTGTCGCATCACAAGGATGCGACAAACATACTCCTCACGTCATAATGACGCGATAACAACTTTTCATCTCATCAATAGAATGCGATAACTTTAAGTCATCGCATCATAAGGATGCGACACCAGTTAACAGTTTGATCAAAAACCCATATTTTATATTTCATTGAATATGTCACCCTTATCTTGATATACACCTCTCCTTCATGTGTCACCCTTATCATGGTATACACCTCTTTTTTATATGTCACCTTTATAACCAAAATACATCTCTCCTTGATATGATATAACATATCAAAAATCCCACAATTATGCTAATTAAAGCAAGCAAAAAAAAGCAGTTTTATATCATCCCCATATAAAGAACCATACGGCTCTAACTTCATCACCAAATAAGGAAAGTTTGTAAATACACTCATCTTAATTACAAGAGATGAAGATATGAAGATGAACGACAACAATTTATTCAGACAATTAATCATATAATCGACTTCCTTACTTTCCTTCCTTTAACTGCTTCAATTTTTTTCTCGGCTCAATATAATTCACTTAAATTATGCATGAGGCAGTGGGCTTTTAAAATAATTTAAGCACATAAACACATTTAACCCCTCAACTTATCAACACTTTTCAAAAACAACTCCAAACTTTATAACTGAATAACCGGTTATCACATTATATATACACACACACATTATATATTGTACTATATTTTTCAACCAATCCTGACTATTTTTGGTGAACCGGGAATAGGCCCAGTAAAAACAGGGAGGGGATTTAATTCCCTGTATATGCCACTTTGCTAGCTATGAGGTAGTGGAATCGGGGCCTAGGATTGCATTCCACATCTGTTTATATACCTATTCGAAATGTTAAGTGCAACTAGCTTATGAGGAATATGCAAAGAACTGTAATATCCCAAAAACTCGAAAAAGGACCAAAAAGAAATAAAATTTAAAACAAGGGTAAATAGTGAATATTTTGGAAATATGTCTTGCAAGGAGTTAACTTTATGAAAATAATAGGGGGCTAATTGTTGTTTACTGAAAGTATAGGGGCTGAAATTTTTGAACCCTCTACTTTCTGTAAATGTTGTACCATCTATGGACTAGAAACGAATGGTGGCGTGACACGTGACATATTCGGTCCTTAATTTCAAGTTCCTTTCTTAAATAGTTATTTAATTTATTTTTTATTCTTTCTATTTAAATAATAATCTATATTATATTATAAAATATTTGATAAAAAAACTATTAAAAACCATCTTTTATGCACGAAATACTGTTTATTGATATATATTATTTAGAATTAAGATTACAAATAAATTGTACATAAGTACAAATTATTAAAGTTTCATATTTGAATTCGTGTAACTAACTATAGATAAACATAATCAAATACTGGATAAGCATCTCATTTTAAATATAAAAAATCTAAAATATAATTAGGATAATCATTGATATCTAACAAAATACTTTAGTTATTATCTTCATAAAAAAAAATATTATTAAACCTAAATTAAATCTCTTTGTTACTAAATTTAAATTAAATTATAATTAAAAAAATTGAATTAAGAAAATTACACCAAAACACAAGAACTTTTAAAAATGTTAATTTGATACTGATATCGATATATTTTATTAAAAAATTTATAATATTTTTAAATTTATATTTTATTCAAAAATAATAACATTATCGTTTTCTCAAAATCACATAAAACCATATTATATCGACATAAAAAAGGCATAAAATGAAACACTAAAATCAAGATGTATTTCGATACATTGCACGAGTACCCTTTTAGTAATTTAATAATGCATCTTCATATAAATGGTATATAGAAAGAATACATGGGTTTTAAGGGTAAATGATTTTTATACTCGATTCGTAGTTGCTGAATGGTTTGGTGCAGAATGATTAAGTGGTCAGAATGATTAATAAGCTCTTATAATATAGTGCAAAATAAAATCTAACTGTTTGGTAATTGTTTACGATGAAATTAGGGCGTTGAATGGTTAAGGGAGGACGAGGATGCAAAACCATTCAGACGATTTTAGAACCATTAAGAGACATATTTTTTTTTATCAAATAAGATTCACATCCTCACGATTCAGAGATTGTCCTCTTAATAAACTATTAAGAAGTAATATTAAGAAGTAATATTAAGAAGTAAACAATCAACCCCTTAATAGTTTTGACAAATTACTGTATCCAAACTGAAAATTGTGTCACATATACAGTTTGAGCATTTTTCTGAACTGTAAATCACATATACCTTCATATTACAAATACGTTGCAGTTTATGCGACTTGTATCTAAGGTATTCTACGTATATAATCTAATATAAAACTAAAACTTTTTTATAAAACTGACAATAACGGGAGCATAATCCAAACAGATTAAAAGTTTATATAAATCCAATTCCCAATACGTAATACATAATTAAAAATAGTCTCAGGTGTCGTTTACCAAACGCTTACCCGAGTAAGGTTACCAAGTCACTTTACTTTACGGGATGAATATGGCAAAGACTAAGAATCTTATCCGGTAAGAGCGAAATAAGAATCTCAAGTCTTACCCAGTAAGTGAAGATGAAAACTCTTACCATGGAGCGCTTACCGGGATAAATTGTTGCATACGATGCGTTTTAGTGAATAAAATCTTGTCCAGTAAGTAAGTGATAGTGTTGAATTTTACCGGTAAGTGCTTACCGGGTAAGTGTTTAGGTAAACGGCCCTTAAGAAAACTAAAATCAGTCTAATCATTATACATATAATATAAATTAAAATTATATACAAAATGTGTGGTGTGGTTTGAACCACGGTTTAATTACTCAAAACTGCAAACTGCACCGTAAAGTGCAGTTTGATAAAAATGCAAACAGGAAACTGCACTGCGAAAAATTTAGACCGCATGATGCAGTGCAAAGTGTACGGTTTGATGGTTTAGATGAACATCCCTAGTATGAATATATGTCGTTAGCCTCTTTTGAACCAAACTTGCTCAAAAACATACATATGTTATGAGAATCGGGAGTAAAAGGTGCAAGGTGCAATGTGTTTGATTGAATGTTTTTACTACTGGTTTCGAGTAAACCAATCTACATAACGATTTGGAATATCTTATCACTATGTGTGTGTGTGTGTTTGTGTTGTATGCCAGTCGAGGCCATACCTTGAATGTTGGATTTTG